CCAATTATTATGTGTCGTTTGGATTCAGTGTTCGCGGTTTTTTAAAGCCTGTGTCGTGAGCTTTGAGTAGTTTAGTCTAATTGGATCGTTTTTTACCGCCTTTTCCTTGAGGATTTTGCAATCGCACAGGATAATTTAGAATATTTTTAGAAAGACGTGACCATGGACAAAGTTTTCGAAGGACGAATTGTGCCGTCTCTAAAGGGAGAAGTTTCTGCGCTGAGACGGGCCCTCACATATATGCTGAATAATTTTTGGGATGAAACTTTCTGGTTGCGAAAGATGAACGATAAAATCATCCTGCAAATACCAACATCAGCCAGTGCCGCATTGAATGAGGTATTAAATGTGTTCATCTGTGATTAATGAAGTATTGGATAAAGACTACTGCTAATGGCTGATTCAACGCTTTTCGATATGTTAAAGATAACTAAAAATTAATGAAAAGTTCTTTAAAAAAAGGAAAAAAAACTGAAATTTGTAGGTATTCCAGTTTTCTTCCTTTTTTTAAGGAACTTTTCTATTAATTTTTATTTGTCTTTAACATATCTTATTTAAATTTTACTCTCTTTGATAAAGACGTTTCTGAGGTAGAAGTTTAGAATTTTGACTTTTTTTTTATATTTCTCTTTCCCATGCGCATTTTAACCTCTCCCAGCAAAAGCCAAATTTTTTTCAAAAAATCCCATTGAAAGATTTTGTTGCTTTCAGAAACTCTCCGCAATGGATGTGCTCAATCTGATCGATGGAAAGATTTCAAAATTTGCCTCAACTTTGATGCAGTATTTTTGTCAGCCAATAATTTCTGCCACAGAACTCACCGGTATAATTGACTACCGAAGTACCATTTCGCTAACACGACGTGACTATATTGTGCAAAAAAAGCAATCGATGGCAGAGGGCACGAAGAAAAATTCTGATGCAAAAAAAGTATTCAGGTGGGCTCTTTTAAGATTTTAAGGATGTAGCAAGGGGAAAACAAGAGAACAGAGAGAGTGATTGGGTTGATTTGTAGTGAACATATTTTGTGGTCGAATGTTTTGACTCTTTTGGGGAAGAGTGACAAAACACGTTGACATGGGATTGTGGTAAGGTAGGGTAGCACTGCTGTCATTTAATAGGTTGAAAGTTTGATTTCGCCGGTAAGACAACCAATTCTTCTACGATTGGTTCCTTTATTTCGATGGTAATTTGTTATTAGCACGTACCAAGGGGAAAAATTCGCCATCAACTTGCTCGTAAGCAGCCCTTGAAAAAGGAAGCCATCGACAGCCTTGCCAGCGATTGGTTGCTTTTGGCATTCACTACCACCCGAGCTACGTTCAGAATGTCTCCGCCTCACACTGAGAACGAATATGCAGGGAATTTTTGTCTTTTTGATATGAAAGAAATCACGTGGATTGTAAGCGAATTGGGAAGCAATGTGTTTTTACACCTAAAAAGGGCAAAAGATGGGAACTCGCAATGATAATCGTGTGAGGAAATACGGATTTGAGGTATTATCCGGGATATCTGGATTTATGATGCTGTTCAGCTACATAGGTTCTAGTTTCCTTGACCAGTGCTACGTCACCTCTGGTGGTCAGCCTGCTAGCGACCTTGACTTCCGTTTATTTGCTTAGATTGCGATGAGATATCTAGACATTGGTATGAATATGTTTAATTTTATGTTCGTTCCAAGCCGTATTTTTCTGTTTTACAGCATGATCTTGGAGTTTTTCACAAATATGCACGCAGATCTTGGTGGGATTACTATCAATGGAAAAGGAATGGTACAGCTCATCGGTGAGAAACTTTCGAACGGTTTAGTGGAGAAATTGGTGCACGAATGCTTGACACCAGCGGTTCCTTATGAAACGGAAGATCTGCCGGCATTTGAGCAACTTCTCGCTGCGTCAGAAGAATTTAGCGCTGAAATGAAGGTTTGTTTTTTTTGTAATTTATGTGTAACTCTTGTTTTTTATTTAGTTTACCCCACCCAACTCTCCGTTAGGCATAAGTCTCCGTTAGACACCCATAGTTTACATTTTTCAGAAATT